CGACTGTCTTCCTTCTCAAACCCCACCCAAACCGGTCGGTCGACCCACGTGCCGCTGACATCCGCTCGCCTCGTCACAAACAAACAAACAAACAAACAAACAAACAAACAGAACAAAACCAAAGCAAGCACAACCACGCGAGATCCAACCTTTCGTGCCATGAGTGTGCGGTGTGTGCGGCCGTGGGTTGTTTGTTGTTCATGTCATCCAGGATGATTGTTACGTGTTTCATGGAAATATTTCGGTATTGTTTAATTGACATTTGCTACTTTTCACAACGTTTTCTACAAATGTTGTACCCAAGACTGGCTGGCCCACAGATGTTTTGGTTGGTTGCCATTTCTGGACTGGGCAAAAAAAAAAAAAAAAAAAAAAAATTAAAAAAATAAAACGTTATTGCACGGCGTATCCCGACCACACATAGGCTCCACAGAGGCCCCCAGGCAGTGGGCAACAGGCAGCTAGCTACCTTTCATGGCCGTCCTGCTCCGGATGGGCGTGTCCTAAAAACGATAACATCTGCTGGTTTTTTTTTTTGGTTTTCTTTACTTTGCCCACGAGGGGTGGTGAGGAGTAAGAGAAGTTATCAAGGCATCGGTGCTGAAGAATGCGACGCTCGTTGCTCACGCTGCACCCCTCTCCCCTCCCCACGGGTTTGCCCAAGCTCTTCGTGCGATCAGCCAAAAATTGATTAAAAAGGTGCACAGAACCCCCCGTTTCTGTGGGCAAGCCATGGAAACATGGGGAGGGAGTACGAAAAAAAGGGAAGGAAACAAAAAAAGGCTGCGGTGTCGGACAAGTGCCCCGATTGTGTGTCATGCGCATCATGGATTTGGCAAATTGAAATTCTATATCCAAACCATCATAAAATAGTCGTGGGAGACAAGACCAGTAGCAACAACAGCAACGAGAAAAACAAATAGCAAGACAACGAGAACGAAGCGGAGCTGGAGACGACTGCCGCTGTGCTACGCAACCTAAAAACCGAACAAAAACAGACCAAACACAACAAGCCCCCATAGATGAAACAAACCGAACCAAATCAGTACACATATCTAAAATTCGAGTCCCTGTCCGTAAACTCCTGCGAAAACGCCTCGTCGACGTCTTTTGCCAAGCAAACAGCTGCCTCCTGGGTTCACCGGCACCCCACGTATCAGTAAACGTATCTATAGTTCGGGTCCTTATCGGTAAATTCCTGCGAAAACGCCTCGTCGACGTCTTTTGCCAAGTAAATCTTTGCTTTCCCGTACAGCTCGTCCCGCTTCCTGTTCTCCCTGACCAGGACCCATCGCAACGCAAACACGGCGACGATGCCCACAATGATCAGTATCATGGCGCTCGAGTGCCCGACGCGGTACTTTGGCTTGTCCGAGTCCTCGTAAATGTAACTCCCGACGGCGCCCGCGAACGCTCCCGCGATGGCGATGATCGAGCTTGTGACGATGCGCTTCGTTGATCCGGCAAAGATGTTCGTCGTCCAGCCGATGATGAGGGTGAGGGATCCCGGGTTGAAGGACGTGAAGAACAGCAGGACGTACGTCCTCCAGAACCCCACGTTGTCGCCGGAGGTCGGGTACGCGAAGATGACGCAGAGGTACCCGACGATGGACAGCAATCCCGCGACGACGAGGTGGAGCGAGCGGTCCCCCGTGCGGTCGGAGGACCACGAGATGACGACCTGGATGACAAAGTTGAACGCGGCGAACGGCGAGTTGAGCAGCTGGGCGTTGAGGCTGGACGCGCCGAGGGCTTGGATGATTTGCGGGCCAAAGAAGGAGAAGGCCGTGTTGACGGCCTGCCAGGTGAAGTAGACCAGCGCGAGGATCCAGATCTTGATGTCGAGGAAGGCTTCTTTGAATTGTGCGCGGTTGAAGGCGACCTTGTTTTGGGAGCGGTCGGCTTCGAGACGGTGCGCGATCACGAGCTTTTCCTCGGCGGTCAGGAAGGTCGCGCGTTCGGGGATGTCGGGGGTGATGAAGAAGGCGAGGATGCCCCAGGCCATGGTGAAGCCGCCCTCGATGAAGAACAAGTAGCCCCAGGGTTTGAGGAAGCCGGACGTCAGGTTCTTTTGGATGCCGTACGAGATGAGACCGGCGCTGATTGGGAGTGGGCGTATGTGTGTGCGTAATGTTTTTAGCACTCATCATATGCAGCAGCCCCCCGATCATTCGAACAACACAAAGAGCTTACCATGTCGAACCGATGGACGAGCACGAGAACCAGATCGCCGTCTTGAGCGCATGCTCCTTCCGCGGGTACCAGATGGACGTGATAAACATTGACAACGGCAGAATCCCAGCCTCAAACACGCCGAGGAAGAACCTCGCGGCAAACAGCCCCGCCGGGTTCCGTGCGAACGACATGAGCAGCACCGCAAGCCCCCACGCAAAGCCGATGAACGAGATCAGGAGCCTCGGGTTAAACTTTGCGACGGCCAGGGTGATTGGGACGGCGCAGATGCCGTACCCGATGAAGAACATGGACACGGCGACGTTGAACAGCGTGCCGTCGGTGCCCGTGTCGGTCTGGATTAGCGACAGCTTTGCGAGGCCGAGGTTGCCCTTGTCGATAGCCTGGAAGAAGTAAAAGCCGCAGAGGATCGGAAGCACGGCCCAGTCGACTTTGCGGACGATGCGGCGCTCCTCTTCGGGGGAGACGGTGAGGAGGGCGACGTCGGCGGTCGAGGCGTCGGAGTCGTCCGCGTCCTTTTTGATGCTGGCGGGTTTCTGCTCGACGTCGGCCATGTTGGGTTGATTTTGCGGGTAGGTGGTGGTGGTGGTGGATGCGGGAGTGCGGTTTTGCGTTTGCCGCGTTCGCCGTGAAGGGGGAAGATCCAACGGGACTAGAGAGGAAACAGGAGCCGCTCTTCCTTATACGGAGACGGAGCTTTTTTTTTTTCTCTCCTTCCTCTTCGATTTTTTTAGCCAACGGGCTAACTGAACAAACACTCTTCCCTTCGGCTGATTTCCACCTGCCAGTGACGTCGTCTGTCTCGGCCCTCGTCCCATAATGCATACACTTTCTGTCTGGATGGCGCAACTGTAGCGAAAAAGCACGCGATCTGTCCTTCCCTGACCAAAAAATTTTTGTTTGGGTTTATCAATCGATCAGCGAAGACACAACAAGTAAGTGCCTTTTTCATTCGTGGCTATCACAGACGAACAAAGAATCGGATTGCGCCATTTCCCCTGCCTGCATCGGGGAGGTTTGGACTCCTCCTTTTTTTACAAGTATTGCAGGGCCAGCCAACCAGCGGCCGCCACGCGCGCGCCCCGCCTCCGCTTATCTCAACCAAACCATGCATCGCGGAGATCTGATCTAAAAGTGCCCCCAGTGTGTCATCACCTGAGCCGTGTTAGTTAGTGAAGGTGCGCGAGCGCGGGAGTGTGATCACAGGGGCGAAACTCTCGCCGGCAAAAAAAAATTGCGCCCGTAACGGGAGAAAAGCAAACCACGAGAAAAAAAAAAAAAAACCCAAAAAACGTCTATTACATGCACATTTCGTGGGGCAGTAAGTTTGCAAGATGAGACCGGTTTGGCTGTTCTTCCATTGCAGCTTGCTCCCCGCCCGTGGGGGCCGTGTGGTCGGAGTGGAAGCTACCAACGACGAGGAGGGGTGAATGAGCCGCAAGGACCAGGGCGCGGGAGCTGTGTGATTGTCGATTCCCTTGCGGAATGGATGTGAATGTGCATGTCTAATTAGTCTATCGCATACATACGCACACCTCTTTGGAAGTTCAGAACGACAGATTTCCAAAATGCAAGCCCCGCACCACCATTTATTTGCACCCCTGTTCGCGGAAGAAAGAAACCTGAAAGAAGCAAAAAAAAGTAGTGAATTTGACGTTTATTCAAAGTTTCGACCGCACACTTCGTTCAAATCCTTGGGCAGGATCATGCGGACAATGGAGATGACCGACGCCGCGCAGCCCCAGCTGGACTGGTGGCCGAACCCGAGGTGACGTAGTTGCGATCACAAGGATGTCCTTTCCGCCGATTTCTGAGAAGGAGGTGTGGAGTGTGTGTGGTGGTGGAGGTGAGCAATTTTATTTTAATTTAAATGCTCGGCAAACAACTGCGATACTGAGAGTCGAGGCGAACGGGGCCAAGGGGAGAAAACGGAAGCGACTGTTAGTGATATGTGATTGGTTGTTGTTGACTGTCTTGTTGTGATTTCGATAGTGAAATTGCAGATTCCATCAGATGTAAGGGTAAGAAACCCCACTTGCTGAGGAACAACGGTGTGCTTTACGAGGTGGCTAGACTAGACGGCCTGGGTTCAGCTGCATTTGGCTTGAGCCAGCAACTTATCGGCTAAAAGACTGGAAGAGAGGGGTGACAGCGGCTTGTGATTGGAAAGTAGACAAAGCACAGTGGATTAAGTGTTTGCAGCGCAATTGGGAGGTGGGGGTTGATGGACAGGTGATCCCTTAAGAAAATGGGACTGTGTGGCTCCAATTGTGCAGACTTTTTGGTCTGAAGTGGCTTGACACCATTGGTGACACCCAACAGAGACATGAGGGCAAAATTATTCACAGAGATATCCTGAAAATTTTGGTGAGTGAGACAGGGCCAGAGACTGTCAGCTGAAAAATTGCCAGAAATAACAAAATGCTGACAAACTAGTGATTTCTTTGCATTGGCAGGTCTGTCTGTCGTCCTATCACTGAGAGGAGTGTTGATTTCGACTTTGGAAGTGCGTCACTCACCAAGGCTTTCAGGATACCACAGTGATCGATAGAGGAATGAGCAGAGTGGGATTCGAACCACACCCCTTTCGAGGCTACGACCTGAACGTAGCGCCTTGGACCGCTCAGCCATCTGCCGCCATCCACTAGTGTGCACTTGGCCGCTCATCAAGGCAGTGTATCTATGAAGGATAATGGATACCAAGAAGGAATTCAATCAGAGTCTTTCCCCAGTATGATATTTACACAATGGCAACTACAAGAATATTGTACGATTTGGAACAATGCAGCGGGGAATGCTGAAAAACAGCCTTCTTGGCTCAGTTGGGAGAGCGTTTCCAAAGTACCAGGAGTGAATCCTGACGGCAGGAGAACCAGTTCGATTCTGATAGAAGGCATGGCTGGCGGGAAGTGGGCCTGTTCTATCCCATTATTGAGCCTTACTGGCAGGGAGCGCTTTCTGCATTGATCTGCATTTCTGGGTTATTTTCTAATCAATCTGAAACCAGCCAGGAAGGCGGCTAAGGCTGGCTGGATTCAGATCAGATACTAAGAGCTCCGTATCCAGGAATACACACAGACATGGTTTTCTCATATCTGTTTAAAGACCCAGATATCTGGTGGAGGGTGGATGTCTGGACTATGTCAGCGGATTTGGGCAGATATTTGGTCCTTTTGCATATCAGTGACTGGGAATTATCTGTGAGGCAGATGTGGGCAGAAACCATATCTGTCCACCATATCTGCCAGAGGTTTGGAGCAGATCTGGCAGAGGTCCGGTCTCCACTTTTGTTAGGCAAAACTGACTGGTTAGCAGCAAGAGGCACAAGACGGACCTGAACCTATTGTGACTGTCAGATATTGTTCTCACGATGCCCATGGGAGAGCGAGTCACCATCAATGTTATGAATCACCCTCTGGAAACCTCTGGAACCTTCTAGAACATTCCTTCATGGAACCTTCTGGAACCTTCTGGAACCTTCTAGAACATTCCTTCATGGAACCTTGTGGAACCTTCTGGAACCTTCTTTGCTTTCCTGACTTGTCTTGTTGTCATTGGTATCATTGGTATCATTGTATTACTAATTGCTCTTTCTGGAACTTTCTTGGAGTCTTGACAAGGAACACTCTCAAAAGGTATAAAAGGGGGATGGGGGACCTGTCCCATCCCTCAAGTGAATTATTGTTTCCAATACAATCATCACTCCTCTCAGTTCCTTGTCTGCCTTGTCCTGTCCTGCCCTGTTCCTGACATCATAATTCACTTGACCCTCTCCCACTACTCTCTGCCATCATGTCTGACCCAAACAACACCTTCCCTGATGCAACTGCCTTCCAAGCCTTGATGGACCAATTACAAGCCCTCTCAAGACAGACACACCAACTTCAAGAACAAGTCCTTCACCAGCAGCACCAGCTTCAACAACAACTTCACCAACAAGAACATCAAGCTCTTCCCCTGCCTCAAGCCAACCAAGCAAGAGAGCCCAAGGTTCCCAGCCCTGACAAGTTCACTGGGCTGGCCAAAGACCTTAGGAACTTCATGGCCACTGTGGAGAATGTCATCCTTCTCCAACCTTCAAGATTTCCCAGTGAGCAAGTCAAGGTTCTTTTCACAAGCACCCTCCTGTCTGGTCAAGCTCAATCATGGTACAGATCTCTCCCAAGCACACCCACCACCCTGCAAGAGCTCTGGGAGGGGCTGGAAGCTACCTTTGGTGACCCCTACGCATCTTGGACAGCAAGATCCAAGCTCAAGCATATCAAGCAAGGAAAGCAATCTTGTGTGGCCTACACCAACCAATTCAAGCAACTAGCCAGAGACTGTGGATACAATGATGCAGCTCTGATGGAGCTGTACCATGATGGTCTCCATGAGTCTATCCAAGACATGCTCTCCCAGTCTCTGCACATCCCTGAGACCTTGGAAGAGTACATTCTCCTTGCCATCAAGATTGACAACAGACTCTACTCCAAGAGGCTGAAGCAAAGACAAGTAGGAACTACATCAAGACCTACCCCAGTTCCTCAAGCTCTTACAGTTCCTGAACCCATGCAAGTGGATGCAGTTGAGACACTTCCTAAGGGTCCTCTGAGCCAAGAGGAGAAAACAAGGAGGGCCCAACAGGGACTGTGTTTTTACTGTGGCTCCAAGGAGCATGCTGTCAAGGACTGCCCAAGGAAGAAGCACCCAAACTCCCAGGTCCAGGCTCACTGAGGGGCAATTCCCTGGACCCTCCTCCAAGCTGCCCCTGTTTCATCACCACCACCAGCACCACAAACACCTCAGATTCCAAGCCCCACCAACTCACCATGGATGTCAAGATTCAACTCTCACCCAAGTCAACCATCACAACCAAGGCCCTTATAGACTCTGGATCATCCTGCAACATCATTGATGCCACCCTTGCCAAGTCTTGTGCCATTCCTACGATCAAGAAATCCACACCCCTCAAGGTCCACTTTGCCAATCATGCTCTGTTCAAGGAAATCAGCCATGAAACCAAGCTAAACCTCCACATCCAAGACTTTCCACCATCCATGGTCAATCTGGAAGTATTGGATCTTGGCTCACCCACATTCTCTGTCATCCTGGGATTACCATGGCTGCAAGCCCAGAACCCTGCCATTGATTGGGTCACTGGTCAAGTCCAACCTCCACCAATTGGAACAGTCACCCAAAACTCAAGTCAAGCCCCCAAGTCTCATGCTCTCAAGCCCTTGATTCAAGATTCACAGCCAGCCAAGACTCCAGTTCCACAGTTCACAGTTCACAGTCAAGATTCAAGTAGAGCTCATAGAGCTCACAGTCATGGCCATGACTCTTGTTCACAGAACCCACAGTCAAAGATTCAAGTACCACAGTTCACAGTCCACATTCAAGATTCAAGTTCCACAGCTCACAGTCTTTGCCAAGAACAGAACTCTCAGTCAAAGATTCAAGAATCACAGTTCCCAGTCAAGAATTCAAGCCCCACTGCTGAGGAGCACGACAACCTGGACCCATCAGACCTTTTGCTGGCATCCAAGCTACCAAAAGAATATCTCCCTTATGCTGATGTGTTTTCCAAGACCAAGGCAGACCTGCTACCAGCTCAGAGGCCTTATGACTGTGAAATCCCACTCAAGGATGAAACTTGCAGCCCACCTTTCAAGCCACTGTACCACCTCTCTCCACCAGAAGCCAAGGCCCTCCAAGAATACATTGAAGAAATGCTGAACAAGGGATTCATCCAACCTTCCAAGTCACCAGCTGGAGCTCCCATCTTTTTTGTCAAGAAGAAGGATGGGGGACTGAGACCCTGTGTGGACTACAGAGATCTCAATGAGATGACAGTCAAGAACCGCTATCCACTGCCTCTCATCTCTGAATTACTGGACAAACTGAGCCATGCAAGGATATTTTCCAAGATTGACCTCAGAGGTGCCTACAATTTGGTCAGAATTAAGCCCCAGGATCAATGGAAGACTGCCTTCAGATGCAAATACGGTCACTTTGAGTACTTGGTTATGCCCTTTGGACTTACCAATGCTCCAGCTATTTTCCAAGGCATGATGAATGACATCTTCAGGGATATTCTGGACCTTTTTGTCATTGTCTACCTGGATGATATCCTGGTATTTTCATCTGACACTGCAAGCCATATGGGACATGTCAAGACTGTCTTGGAGAGACTCAGACAGCATCACCTCTATGCAAAGCTGGAGAAGTGTGAATTCCACAAGACCTCCATTGAGTTTTTGGGGTTCATTGTGTCTGACAAAGGGATCTCCATGGCACCAGACAAGATCCAAACTATTCTTGAATGGAAGGCTCCAAATTCCATCAAGGATGTTCAAAGCTTCCTTGGATTTTGCAACTTCTACAGAACCTTCATTGCCAACTATTCTGCCATAGCCAAGCCTCTCACTGATCTCACCAAGAAGACCACCAAGTTTGAATGGACCCCAGCAGCAGAGCAAGCCTGGCTAGCTCTTAAGACAGCAACCACAAGTGCACCACTCCTTAAGCATGTGGATCCCTTGCTTCCCTTCACCTTGGAAACTGATGCCTCAGACTATGCCCTTGGCGCTGTTCTGTCCCAGCCAAGCTCTCAGGAACCCTCTGCTCCTCTGCATCCAGTGGCATATTACTCCAGGAAGCTGAACAGTGCTGAGTGTAACTACACAGTCCATGACAAGGAGTTGCTTGCAATTGTGGAAGCATTCAAATTCTGGAGACACTACTTGGCTGGTTCTAAAGGCATCTCTGTCTATTCTGATCACAAGAACCTCACCTTCTTCAGGGCAAGGAGGTTGCTCAAGCAGAGGCATGCCAGGTGGGCTGAACTGCTCTCTGAGTATGACTTTAAGCTGTGCTATTCTCCTGGCCACCTTAACACTGTGGCTGATGCCCTGTCAAGAAGAACAGACCTTGCACCTGAAGGGGGAGATGGTTTCACCCCACCATCCAAGACACACCTTTCATTGCTTCCTGACAGTGTGTGGGCCCATGCTATTTCCAAGGACCCCAAGCCTCACAAGATTCAAATCAGCCAAGAAGAGGAAAAACTTGAGATACTCAAGACAAGGCATGACGCAGCAACAGCTGGACACCCAGGAGAGCACAAGACATATGAGCTTGTTTCCAGAGACTTCTACTGGCCAGGCATGAGGAAGTACATCAAGAACTATGTCAGCAGCTGTGAAACCTGTCAAAGAAACAAATCCAGCAGACACAAGCCCTATGGACTTCTGGAGCCCCTCCCAATTGCCATCAGCCCTTGGTCATCAATATCCATGGACTTCATTGTGAAACTGCCCCCATCCCATGGATTTGACTCTATCCTTGTTGTCATCTGCAGAAGGACAAAGTTGGCCCATTTCATCCCCTGCACTGAGAATATAGATGCACAAGGAACAGCAGACCTGTTTTTGCAGCACATATTCAGGCTCCATGGGCTGCCTCAGTCAATCGTCAGTGACAGAGGACCACAGTTCAGATCTCAATTTTGGAAAGCACTCACAGCAGCCCTTGGAATCAAGTCTCAACTGTCAACTGCTTATCACCCTCAGACTGATGGACAAACAGAAAGAACAAACCAGACTCTGGAGCAGTATTTGAGGTGCTATGTCAGCTATCAACAGGATGATTGGCCCACCCTCCTTCCGCTGGCAGAATTTGCTCTCAACAATTCTCTCCACTCAAGCACCCAGCTATCTCCTTTCTTTGCAACCTATGGCTTCAATCCAAGAGGAGATCTTCTGGGACAAGAGACCCTATCCAATGTCCAAGCTCCTGCTGCGGCTTCACACTTACATAAGCTCAAGATCATCAGCACCTTCCTGGACTCCACCCTGAAGCAAGCCCAAGAAGATGCCTCAAGATTTGCCAACACTCACAGAATGGACCATGACCTTGCTGTGGGTCAGCAAGTTTGGCTTCTGAGGAAGAACTTGCAGACCAAAAGACCAAGTCCCAAGCTAGACAACCTCAAGTTGGGTCCTTTCAAGATCTTGGAGCAAATCAATCCAGTCACCTTCAAGCTGGATCTCCCTGCATCCATGAAGATCCACCCAGTTTTCCATGTCAGCCTTTTAGAGAAGTTTGTGGCCAATTCCATTCCAGGCAGAGTTGTTCCTCCTCCTCCTCCAGTTGAGGTAGAAGGTGAAGAGGAATTTGAGGTTGAACAAATCTTGGATGCCAAGTGGTTTGGAAGAACACTCAAGTTCCTTGTTAAGTGGAAAGGTTACTCAGATGCTGACAACACCTGGGAGCCTGAGTCAAACCTCACTCACTGCCAAGACCTTCTGCTCGAGTTCAAGACCAGGTACCCCACCAAGTTGCAGAAGAGGCCTAAAAGGGGGAGATGATGTTATGAATCACCCTCTGGAAACCTCTGGAACCTTCTAGAACATTCCTTCATGGAACCTTCTGGAACCTTCTGGAACCTTCTAGAACATTCCTTCATGGAACCTTGTGGAACCTTCTGGAACCTTCTTTGCTTTCCTGACTTGTCTTGTTGTCATTGGTATCATTGGTATCATTGTATTACTAATTGCTCTTTCTGGAACTTTCTTGGAGTCTTGACAAGGAACACTCTCAAAAGGTATAAAAGGGGGATGGGGGACCTGTCCCATCCCTCAAGTGAATTATTGTTTCCAATACAATCATCACTCCTCTCAGTTCCTTGTCTGCCTTGTCCTGTCCTGCCCTGTTCCTGACAATCAATGCAGACATGGGCACTGGCTTGCGCTGATGACAAATACTCCGAGTATTAAGTGGAACGGAAACCAAGTGTCAACAGTTTTCCTCCTCCTCTGCTCAAGCAGATAATATAGGAGAGGTTTTTACCCTGTGCCGGTCAACCTTGCCTAGCAACTATTACAGTGTGCATATCATCATTATGTATCAATAATTCAAAACAGAGGTTTTTTTTTCTTTCTCTCCAAGTTGGGGAGACGGACCACCCACAAACACACATCTCCACTTCATTCACTCCTTCCACACTCACTCAGAGTAGACTGTTTACAACTTTCTCAGATGTCAGCCTTAAAGGAAGCTGTTCTCCAGCACTGCCCATTGATTGTGTGCATACTCCAGAACTGTGTTCAAGTCATACCACTTGCACTTAATCAGGAAAGCAGTTTTGGTTTTTTAAGAATCAGGCTCCTATTTGTTTACTTGGCTAAACTTTGTTGTCGTTCTTCCCACAACATTTCGCAAACTCCATGAAGTGACTGCACTGGTCACATGGTGTAGTTGGTTATCACGTCTGTCTAACACACAGACGGTCTCCAGTTCGAGTCTGGATGTGACCAAGTTCTCCCTTTCTTGTCCAAGCTCTACTGTCTGTTTGTGGTGTTTGTGCTGTTGGCAAAAGATTGGGGGCTGGGCTGGTGAAGGGGTCTTGTGTGGGTTTCAGTTTCCAAATCAGGAAGGTGACTCCAGAGCCCTAAAAAGGTATTGGACAGACAGTGTGTTGAGGGCACAGGCCTACTGTGTGTCAGGCAACAATTCTACCACTGAACCCACTGTTGTGCAATGCCAATGAATGTTGCAAATACCCAGTGTTACTCTGTTGACTAGTCTCTCACCTTCTCCAATGCATTTTCCAGAAAGAACAGCAAAGTTGGTCAGTTTGCTCAGAGTGGACCACACCTGCAGCATTACATGACTAGAACTTTGTTCCAAAAAGTTCCATTATAAACACTCTGGTCTTTGTTTTCAAGAGCCCACCTGGTGGGGGGTCAATTTCAAGGAGAGAAAGCCTGATCCTTCCCACGTGAGGCTCCAGCATGACGCACCTCAGGTGTAATTGTGTCCTCCCCATGACCAGAAAAAAGGGACAAATATTGCTACTTCGTTTAAAGGGTTGCTGTGTGCAGATTGTGATCAACGCAGCGCAGAAAACAAAAAGGGGGGTCTGTTGGTTTGTCCGGAAAAACTTTTCCCATTTTGTTTGAACAGCAATCCAAGCGTGACAGTTTTTGATATGCTGAAAGGCAGCAAAGAATAAGATAAAAAGGTTTCTTTTCTTTTTTGTCCCGATCTTTGTCAGGTCAGTCTCCTGCGTTCCCAAATTGCTTTTTGCATTTAGTTTTGCCCATAAAAACAGTCAAAAACAAGAAAAGTCTCGCCTTAGAGGTTGAACCACTCTTGCCACTGCCACTTTTGATCATTTTAGCTCTGAAACAAGCTCTGTCTGTGGGCTCTGCTGAAGTTGTTTTTTTTTTTTTTTCTGGAAAGAGGATCTGATGCGAAGTTTTGTCCACAAACATGGTCGTTACAGTTTGCTGCCCAGGGCATGGCTGCATAGTGTAGGGGTTATCACATCAGATTTTGATTCTGGGACCCCCGGTTCATTTCCACATTCAATTAGTGGCACCAGGGGGGGGGGTGTGGGAAAAGGGAAAATCAATAGGGGTTGTCAAACCCCCCTCTTTTTTGTTGGGAACAGACAAACAAAACGTTGCACAATTTTTCCGCCACCGTTGCAAACTGCCTTTTTGGACCCATCAAAACGTTTCTTTTGCGGAAAGCTCCTTGCGAGGAGCTTTCGTTGGAAAGACTTTCGTTGCAAACCAGCATTGTTTATCATGTTTTGTTTCCCATTTTTGGAAGGTTGCCGCACATGGAAATCTTTCCAATAATGGGGGCCTAGGTGGTTTGTCTCTCAGTCTGCCTCTCGTCCTCTCTCCCCTTCTCCATATCCATTGCCATCGCCATCGCCAGGTTTGACCACCAACTTTCATTTCGTTGGAAACGAAATAAAAAACAGTGCAAAGTGGAATCCATTTCGTTTTAAACCAGTCTGTGCAGGGAAGGGGTTTGACAACCCCTAATAAGTGAGAAAATGCCAGAAAGCCAGTTTCTCTAATTGGCCCCACCAGTCATGTCAAACGGCCGCACCCGAGACTTCTCTTTCTGCACCGCAAAAGCTCACCAGCCTCTCCCTGAACGTTGCAAAGGGAGCAGCCAAACACTGGTGCAACATCGCCCTCGAAGCGTGCTCCAGCTCCTGCGCGGCTGCGCCTTGGGCCGCCACTACTCCACCATGGGGCAGCGGCGACGGCGGAGCTTGCCTCCAGACCTGCCACCCATCCCATCTTCGCCTTGCTCTGCGGATCCTTCTCCGACCGCGTTTGCCTGCCAAACGGCGCCGCCCCGACCCGCACCGCACTGCTGCACTCACCAATTCGACTATGAGGCTCCTGGATGGCCCGGAAACGCTGTGCTCAACTGCTGCCCGCAGGTTGAACGATCCTCATCCTCAGCGCTGCTCACTGCTCGCATCGCGTGCACCCTTGCCGCCACCCCATGTGCACGCCGCCCTGATTTCCTGGTCGCTGTCGCTGGCCTCGATGCTCACGTTGTCCTGGACTCCTCCACAGACTCCGCAGTGACCGACTTTTCGCAGGCCCACTCGAAGCCCCAGACGTGATGCTGCAGAACCTTGCCGTGGCCCTCGCCGGCCGCCGGCAAGCCCAATCAGCCCACTCAGTTTGTGCACATCGGCCAGACGGCCAGCCTGACCATTGCCATGCCTGCTGGCGTGCTCAGGTCGTTTCGGCTGTCTGTCGTTGGCTCTGGGTTGGGCAGCTCATGGGCGATCTTGCTCTAGTGCCCTCCCAAACCCCTCCCACCACTTGATACCTGGTAGGCTCTCTGATTTGGTCAACGAGATAAGCTTTTTACCCTTTCGTGCACAATGCCGCTTTTCTGGTCAACTGCTTCACCGCCACCCCTCACGCCAATAACCTCAACCACTGCAGTCCCACCAACTGCATTTGCCGTCATTCCCACCTTCCGCACACCGACCACGACGACTGTTGCTCACCAGCACCAGCACCCACTTTAGCGCCAACCGCAATGGATCAAATGTCTTCCAGGCCATTTACCGCTGCCGCTCCTTGACACAGAGCTTCCTGCGCGGCTTCCGCTGCATCCAACCAGTTGCTGTTGGTTTGGCTGATATACGAGGCCAAACCGTTATATGTAATGTCCCTGGAGAGCTTCAAGGAGGTCAAACTCGATTCGGGGATTAAAACGAGCGTCCCACTCTGCACTCAGCTCAGCCGTAAGGGCGATTACCGCCGGTGGCAAGCGCGCTGAAAGCGTGCTGTGGGCTGGCGGGCCGAAGGGTTTACCTTGGTGGAAATCTTCTGCAGCAGTGTTTCTTTCTACAAAAACGAAAATTAGCGCTGACTTGCGTGAGTTATGCGTACAAACAAGTGATATTGAATGTAGCGGGCCTTCCAGCGCTTGTCTTGATTGCGCTCCCTTGAGGCAGCTGGACTGTGCCTACGACAGTATGCTCTATCCTCTGGTCGGTGGCGAAACACCCTTAGTCTCAAGAGGGTGTTCGCAAAGGGGTGGTTTCTCGCAATATGGCGGTTTGTATTGAAGCGCTTCGTACTTGTGTATGTGCAGCCCAACACGGTGCAAGGTGAGGTCGACTTCATGTGCGCACTTTCCCGCGCTTTCCTGTCAATTCTTAATTTTTCCCGTCAATTTTCAATGTGTATTGAGAATGCATGGTTCGAATCCAGGTGCAGCCTCAAAATTTGGGTGGACAATCTCCCTACAGTGGAAATTGTGATGGTGGGGGCCTTGAAGACACCCACAATCAGTCTGGAGTGTCGAGGGGAGGCTGGTTGGTGGTGGTGCCAAACAGAGGAAGGTGACGCTGAGCAAGTTTTTTTCTCTTGTTTTTCTAACTACACTGGGCAGTGATTGCTTTGTCAAAGCATAGCAAATAAATGATGCAAGGGGCTTAATTGCAATTCGTTTTGATGGGTACAAGTTGATTCAATAAATTTGTATTGCTGTTTGGCTCCAGACTGTTTCTGTGCAGAGAAAAAAAAAAGGAAAAGAAGAAAGCTTCCTTTTCTTCTTCTTTTTGTTTCCTTCCATCATGCCCTTATGTTATTAGCACACAGAGCTGAGTTCTGTTTGTTGCTGCTTGTTGTCTGCCATCACCTCGCTCCCCAGGCCTTGCGCTGTATGGAGCGTCTAGCAGGCCACAAACCTCAGCAGTCTGGAAATGGCACACCAGTGGGTGTTCAAACCTTCCACAACTTGAGGAGGGCAACCTACAGTGCCATTGTGCCAGTCTGTGCCACTGTTTTTCCAAATTAGATAACAAAACCATTTGGAGGATTGAATCAAATTGAATCACATAGGAAATGCAGTATTAAGGATCAGGGTGAGTCCTTATCCTTTCTAAGACAAGTTTTATGGAATGCAGAATATCTGGCAGTGGACAAGTCATGACAATCCATTGACATGACAACGACAAAAATGTAATAATTTAGATCTGGAACAGCCACTGTCTGGACTCCTTAGCTCAATGGTAGAGCATTCGACTCCAGATCGAAAGGTTGCGTGTTCAAATCACGTAGGGGTCATTTGAAGACCTACACAGTCCATAAAAGTATCATTGACAGTGTTTGAGGTACTCAGTTCCGACTCCCTTTCCGCCGTAGGTGCAAGGAATGTGTGGATTCCAAAGCATGGGTTCAATTTGGTTTCGTGTGACAATCGAGAAAGATTTCCCCAACTGCAACAATGAGCCCTTCAGCCCCAGGGAGAGTAAGGCTGTAGTCTGCTTATCTCTATTGGGTTTTTTTTCTTTTTATTTTATTTTTTTTCACTAGCTCCACCAAAAAAATTTGTAAAATCCTGCCAAAGCTGGCATAAAATACGCATTGGAGAACTCCATGTTGTGTCCAAAATCCAAAGAAATTTGATTAAGAAAGTAGAAAAGGCAAAGTATCCTAATTATCTGCTTCTTGTTGGATATTTCGGATGATCTTGGATATTTCTTGAGTTTTTCATAAAATTTGTTGGGTTTTACTGTAGGCACACAATGTGGTATTTTCAGTGCCCATTTAATGCCAACTTTGGCCAGATTTTAAGTTAGAACAACAAAAGAACCAATTTTGAGATAAGCAGACTGCAGCCTTACAGGAGGGTGGAGACTTAGTTTGGGTGAGGCTGCCCTCTCTATTGGTACTGAGTCTTTGGGGCAACAGTTTGCAATCCTCTCATCAAATTTTGTCACAATTGGATGCAGAATCTGAAGGAAGGAAACTGGATCAATAAACCAGCGGACTTTTGACTTCTAGTACCACTGACCAGCGCCAGTTATGTTTCCAACAGGAAACTGGCCTCAGCTACTTGAAGGAGACCAAAAAGTGGGAAACAATTGCAACATAGAACACTGCCAAGCCCCAGTAGTTGTAAGAGTATTTGAGCTGTGGCCCATGCTGAAGCCTTTCTGCTGGGCAATGAAGGTTCAACCACAGACAGGCATGGGGACTGCTTGCTGATGCAAAAGAAGTAACCCTCCAGAGGGTGATTCATAACATCATCTCCCCTTTTAGGCCTCTTCTGCAATTTGGTGGGGTACCTGGTCTTGATCTTGAGCAGAAGGTCTTGGCAGTGAGTGAGGTTTGACTCAGGTTCCCAGGTGTTGTCAGCATCTGAGTAACCTTTCCACTTGACACGGAACTTGAGTGTCCTTCCAAACCACTTGGCGTCCAAGATTTGTTCAACATCAAATTCCTCTTCATCTTCTACCTCAACTGGAGGAGGAGGAGGAACAACTCTGCCTGGAATGGAATTGGCCACAAACTTCTCCAAAAGGCTGACATGGAAAACTGGGTGGTTCTTCATGGATGCAGGGAGATCCAGCTTGAAGGTGACTGGATTGATTTGCTCCAAGATCTTGAAAGGTCCCAACTTGAGGTTGTCTAGCTTGGGACTTGGTCTTTTGGTCTGCAAGTTCTTCCTCAGAAGCCAAACTTGCTGACCCACAGCAAGGTCATGGTCCATTCTGTGAGAATTGGCGAATCTTGAGGCATCTTCTTGGGCTTGCTTCAGGGTGGAGTCCAGGAAGCTGCTGATGATCTTGAGCTTATGCAAGTGTGAAGCCACAGCAGGAGCTTGGATATTGGATAGGGTCTCTTGTCCCAGAAGATCTCCTCTTGGATTGAAGCCATAGGTTGCAAAGAAAGGAGATAGCTGGGTGCTTGAGTGGAGAGAATTGTTGAGAGCAAATTCTGCCAGGGGAAGGAGGGTGGGCCAATCATCCTGTTGATAGCTGACATAGCACCTCAAATACTGCTCCAGAGTCTGGTTTGTTCTTTCTGTTTGTCCATCAGTCTGAGGGTGACGAGCAGTTGACAGTTGAGACTTGATTCCAAGGGCTGCTGTGAGTGCTTTCCAAAATTGAGATCTGAACTGTGGTCCTCTGTCACTGATGATTGACTGAGGCAGCCCATGGAGCCTGAATATGTGCTGCAAAAACAGGTCTGCTGTTCCTTGTGCATCTATATTCTCAGTGCAGGGGATGAAATGGGCTAACTTTGTCCTTC